GTTAGGCTCAAAGAACTGGCGTCCATTTCGAATGACAAAACCCAAATTTCTGTATGCTTTTTTTTGAATAGTATTGACATGTTCAATAAAATTTAACTTAGCGTCGAAAAGAACACCAAGATCTCTAAAAGAAAGACATTTATTGATGGTAATATTGTTGATAGTGAAATTATACTCAATCGGATTTAGTTTGCGAGTGAAGCTGATAGAATTGCACTTAGATATGTTTAGTGGTAAGTTGTTAGAATTACACCAAAGGTTCAATTTATTTAGGTTCTCCTGCATAATCAAACAGTCATCAATACTAGAGATTGATTTAAACAATTTGAAATCATCGGCATAGAGTAGAGTATTACATGATAGGTTTTCAGTAATGTCATTTACAAAAATGGAAAATAAAAGTGGTCCTAGAACTGAACCTTGAGGGACACCGGAAGAAGCTTTTATACAAATTGACTGAAAACCATGGTATTCAACTTTCAATTTACGATTACTTAAATATGATTCAAAGAAACGCAGAAAAGACGTAGTGAGTCCAACAATGGAAAGCTTGTTCAAAAGTATACTATGATCGAGGCGATCAAAGGCCTTGGAAAAGTCAGTATATATAGTTTCAACCTGGCCACCCCTATCAAGGTTTTGCGCAACATATTGTGTAAAGCATAATGGATAATTTATATTATTTATCAAAGACGACGTCATGGTGCCATTTGATTAGAGTTTAGTGCAAGTTAATCGGAATTATGCTTTTTGTGACGTGAAGGCATGTCGCAACGACAAATATTACATCACGTACGTTTGTACTACTGTGCTTGCGTAAAAACCTTGGTGGTGGGGGTAATGAATTAATTGTTTAAAGTATTGAGACATTAAAGACTCTTTCAGTATTACATCACGCATGTTTGTATTACTGAGCTTGCGCAAAAATCTTGGTGGTGGGGGTAATAAATTATTTGTTTAAAGTATTAAGACATTAAAGACTCTTTCAGTGTACTGAGACATTTTCTATGAGTAGCTTCTCTAAAAATAACAAAAAAAGTCTTCATTGTCAAAAACTGATTATTTAACTCTCTTGAATCTAAATGAAACTAACGCTTTGTCGCCATAGGAAATGGCACAAGATTACGAAGAATTGTCTAAAGAATGGTATCAATATTAAATGAAAAATACTTTAATTTACTTGCCTGTGCTTCAAATATTAAATGGTATTCTATTTGTCGATGTCATATCTAATAGCAGACGATGGTAGTACAGCACATAAACATTTTCACGCTTTAATACATTTTACTCATGGAATTACAATGTGAGCCTAGAAGAAAAAACCACAGCGCACTGGTATACGACTCCATTCAAAAACAATAATTTGCTCGAACTATGCCATCACCTATTCTGATGGACAAAAGCTGCTTAGAAGAAAAGGAGATGGTCTTAGAGGTAAATCTCATTCTCATTACGATAGAAGAGTATTTAAACAAGACTGGTTACATTCCCGAGGAAAACAGTGTTGCTTATACGTACAGAATTTTCAGAATTAGCATCTAAAGGTGTTAAAGACAGAAAAATACACATCGAAAAAAGAACTTCATGATAAATCCACATGTAGATGTGATAGAGGTGCCGATGGAATAAGACGAAGGGAAGAAGCTAACGAGAAACGAAGACAATTTTACAAAACAGAACAGGGAATGGAAATTAGGAATAATTACGAAGAAAAATAAATTAAGAAAAAGAAACTACAAGTTTACTGAAAATTTTCCTAAATAAAATAGCTGAGCTTCAAAAAGAGACAATTGTAATAATTGGCATTATTATTATTTGGAAAAATCTAAAGAATTTACCAAACATTCTAAATAAGTATTTAATGTTTAAGTTAAATAATTAAAAAGACACTTATGAAAATGAAACAAACCTTCAGGTTATTAATCTACATTGAGCGTGACATTTTTAAATACAACCAACCATCACGTAAATTTTGGTTTATATAGAGAAAGAAAGGATCGCTTGGGTAAGTTCTCAGTCGAGTTCGAACTAAGGTCCAGAACTTTCGCCCCAGGGGCGAAAGCTCTCGTTTTTTTTATGTGATGTGTAGAGTAAAGTTTTGTGTACGATTTGTAAATTAAAGGTAAATATTTTTAACTTAATTCTAAAGTGTTTTGTTTAATAAAAAATGATTGATTTACATATAAATGCCAATTTTACATTTTCGTCCCCGAATTATCATATTTATCGTATACATGGTTTTATATTATTATGTAGTTGAAGTTTTGTAGTGCTTTATTCCCTAAGTGGAATTTTATTTATTTTTCTCTTAAGACTGTTGGTGAAATTTTATACTTATTGTTAATATACATTTGTTAATGTTTTAATATTTATTATTATTCTCTCCTCCCTTTCCAAACCAGTAAAATATTCCGAGCATTTGAAAAGCCTCGGCGTTTCTATTCCCTTAGGACTAAAAGAGTCTAAAACTAGTTGCCAAGAACCGCTCGACTATGCTATTAAGGGATAATTTTTTTATTCTTTTTTGAAATTATTAATTGCTGATGCAGAGAGTAATTAACTTCACACTAATCGATGTGTCCCTGTATAAATGGAAATCAAAAATACACTTTCTTCCCTTGGATTTCACTAAACTGTTTTGATTGCAAATTAGTTTTGTATTCATTGATTACTCTGTTTATAAGACTCAATGGGTAGCTGTTAAGTTTTAAATTATTCCTAATTTTTTCTTCATTTGCTGTGTAGAATTTTGGGCTACTCAGATGGTAAGACCTGAATAGTAAATTTTGAATTATACCTATTTTATGTTGAATTGGATGATTTGAGAAATAGTTCAGAATCCTCCCTGAATTGGTGGGTTTGTTATACCAATTCGTTTTTAGTTTCCCATCATTTTGTCTTATAACAAGAGTGTTCAAGGAGGAAATAGTATTTTCTTTTTCCATTTCAACTGTAAATTTAATTCTCCGATGATAGGAATTAAATACACCTAATACTTCATCTATTGTATTATGTGGAACACCTAAAATCGTGTCATTCACATACACTTTTAAAAATGCAACCTGAAACGTTAGTATTGATAAACTTTCTTTAATTAATTAATTCATTATTAAATTAGTTAATATAGGACTTGCTGGATTTCCCAGTCCAGAACCTTCAATTTGTTGGTAAAACTGGTTATTAAAAGAGAAATAGCTGGACTCAAACAAAAATGCAATGATCTTAGAAAACAGCGTTAATTCAATAGTTGTATATGTAAATCTCATAGTTTTTACAATTTTTTATTAAAACCTATTATGTATTTTCAGCCTTGAGAAAGACGAAAAATAAACGTCGAAAGTTCGGCAAATTAAAAAGGTAATGTTTTCTTTTGGCACGTCCTCTTCCCACTAACCTCACACTCACAAATTGTTAGAAATATTATATTTCAAAAGACAGTTCCAGACCTGCTATTAAATGGATATGCTAGGATACTAAGTGTTGAGAATTCAAGAGTAATTCTCAACGGTAGTTAAATTCAAATTTACCGCGCCAAATTTTCAATGCCCGATGAATATGCGCCAACTCGGTTCCCTTTAAAAATGCGGAAAATAACGGCCAAGCATTATCTGCTCCTGGCGATACAGGACAGATGTGTCCCGAACGGCGTCAGTTATAAAGCAGTTAAAAAGTTATACTAATCACGTGTGTGTGTGTGTGTGTTAGTGTAAAGATACCCTTTTATATTGGCGATACCCTATATCCCAATAAACCCAAAGTACCTAACTCTTTTTAAAACACTTTTAATTCCGTGGTGACGAGAAGCCGGTAACATATCAGAATTGCATCTCATATATCAGTGAAAGTACTATTATAAAAAGTGTGAAGTGTAGTGTTCAAGGATTACATGTAAGCTTGGTACTGATATAATAAAAAGTCTGGAAGTACCCTAAAACTTTCAAATATGCCCTTTATTTTCCCTGCTATTTATACCACCATTTTATTAGCTAAGTCAATTGAGCATTGTTGCCAGATTGTGTGCTGAGTCGCTTGGCTCTTATGTAAATATTATCAACTGTTTTTTCCAATACTGAATATAGTAGTTATTTATTTTATTCATATCCCCCTTTTTTCCCACTTTTCAGTAACCTTATTTTAAAAAAGTAGTTTAAAATCGAAGCATCATGTGCAGCCACGAGTCGTTGTCCACCGCTTAATACAGTCCACTTAAACTACTCATTTTAGGCTGTATCCTGCACACTAAGTAAAAGAATATAGAATTATCAGAAGGTGGTTTATAATTAAAAAAATTGAAGAAGAAAGTGAAAAAAATTCCAGCGCTGACATACTCGAATATTTTATTGTTAAGGTAGCAAAGATATAGTCACGATGTCTATGACTCTTTTAAACCTATCTTTTCAAAGAAATGTAGGATTTGAAGTAACTCCAAGTAAGGTGTACTCCCGAGTATAGTGGCGTTGGGTTCTGGAGTGCTACATTCAATCAGAATGTGAATGGAGGTTTTATTCAAATCCTAATAGATTTAGCATTCATTATCTGTCACTCGTTTTGGTTTAAAGAACACTTCAAGTATAAAAATATCTCTCGGAAACGTTGTTAATCTTCAGAACTTTGACCTGAGAGCCTGGCTTTCCCTAGACATTCCCTAGCGATAATCATCAGGGCTTTGATGAGTTAATAATCTACAGGACTTTGACAAGATGAGAATATGGCTGTCTGTAGAAATCCCTTAGCATCAACTAGCAGGTTTTTGATGTGTTGATATATTGTAGAAGTGATAAGAGAAGAAAATTGACTCTAAACACCTGTTAGCGGCAAACAGCAAGTTTTGACAAGTTGAGAGGTAGCTTCCATATGCCCCTAAAGGATGTACAATGTAAATGATGTAGAGCAACCCCTTATCCCCAACTTACAGATACAGAGAGATCACAAATAGTTTTTAACTTTGACAAAAATATCTTTGCTCTGTAAGTTCTTTAATAAACCAAGAGGATACTTACTCAAAACACGGTTGCTTCTCTGAAATATCATTTAATAAGTTATATAAATAAAGTTACTAAAAAAGAAGATAAAAGGAAAAACATCTTGATTTGTTTTAAAGATTTCACAGTTTGCAATAACCCTGGTTAAAGTTATATGTATAAAATATGTACAATCTTAATAATTTGAGCTCCTTTTCTTGTGATTAAATAACTAACGTATTTAAATTCCTTTACACCCCCACATAAATAAAAATCAAAAAGTTTACATACGAGCGTTTAAAAAAAAATACGACTCACCTCTCGCAGGCATTTATTTAAGCAGACGCTGCCCCTCTTCTCGTTTGACACCATACCGCCTCCGGCCGAAACCGCCAACGTGTGCGTAGCGGAGCCGTTCAATAGCCCGGTCGTCGACTTGTGCCAGCCGTCTGACGTTTCGCTGAAAAAGTCCACCCTCAGGTCGGGCAGTGGCGGGGTGCGGCGCGACGACGTGGACGACACTGACGATCGGGTGCGGTATTTCGACACCTGGCGTTCGTCGTAGGAGAACTTCTCCGGCGTTTGCGAGTGGTATTTGTTCGGAGAACGCGTTCTACGGCTGGTTTTTTTGTGTCTGGAATAAGAACAGTTTTTACAATTAAAAAACATTTATATATAATAACGTAATAAGAGAGATGACCCCTGAAGCTACGGTTTGTTGGGAAAACGTACGCGTATGGCAGAATCTGTCGCGTTCGACTCATGTCAGTTTTAGTAAAAGTAATTTGTTAAAATTTAAATCAGTTTAACTTGTTCTGTTGATACATGCAGCTAAAAATTACTTTCTGTGAATTAAATAACGTGTTAGTAGCGATTTAACTAATCGAAGAAGAATATAAAGAATAATTGTTAATTTTTAAGTAGTAATGATAAAAATAAAGCAGATAAAGCAAATAACTATACCCAGATAGCACACGACGTTTGAAAGATGTCTTTTTTGTGACTTGGTTTGGTCTCAATGTCCTAGGACATTATAAAGACGTCTGGCAAATGCCATAATTAGGACGTATTAATGTGAGAGCTGCTAACGTTTTAAAGTCGTCTTGCCAAATCCATAAATTATTGTGAAAGCTCAAAGACGTCTTTTAGTCGAACGGAAACTTGAACGGTTTACATGATTCAAATTTAAAATGCACTAACACCATGGGATCAACTTCTCAATACAGAAGGGACCCTCTGGCCAAAAATTCCCCTCAAAAAAGTTTGGAGAAACACTCAGATAACCGCGACAGAAAGCCAAAAAAGCTTGGAGAATACAAACAGAATAAGTTTAAAGAATTCAAAAGAAACTTCGGAGAAAGCGTAGAGGCTCTCACAGAGCCGGAAGACGTAGCCAAAACCGACTCCAGTGAATATTTTAGAGAAAATATATCACCAAACAAAAGTCAGGAGAACATTGACTGGGTTCTTAGGTCGGACCCAAACTAAAGTTTGGAGAATCTTGTAAATACACTAGAAGACTCTTCAGACGGGACAGAAAGTCCAGAAAATGGAAACACAACCGTTCTAGAGATGGAGGAAGACAATACCGGGGATGGACTTTGTTAAAGACGAATTTACTTATTGAGGTAATTATTACGTAAAATTGACTAGAAAAATATACCTCTAATGTAAATTTACCAAACGGTTTTAATTTATGTTTAAATTTACGTAAATTATACCAAGAAATCTACCTTTTACACAAATCTACTTAAAAGTAACTTTAACCATATCAGCAAGGGAAAAACTACTAAAAAAAATAACCAACAATTACTTCAAAGTTAAATTTCCTTTGTAGTAAAATTAGGTGCCATATTTAGGTAATATCTACCTGTTTGGCAACTAAAAATCGTCTTTATAGTAGAATATCCAACTAGGTAGATTTGGTTTAAAATTCTACGTAATTTTATGCCTCCATAGTAACCTATTTGGCCGCTTTTATTTACTCTCCTTTAAAGTAATATTAGGTCGAGATCGTAGCAAAATTCTACCTATTTATCTACCTAATTTCAACCAAATAGTCGAATACTCATTTAGTTGACCTATAAGTCATCTTGAAGAAATATTTATTAACTTTGTTGTAGCAATTACCTAAAAAATCTACCACAAAGTAAATTTGACCAAAAACCACCAATTTAAAAAGAGTCATACATAACCTATTTGTAAAATTTATATTATTTAGGTTACTTTAACAATTAGGTTGTTCAGTTACTGTCTTCGTCATTATTCTTAAGAATTTCGGCCATTTTAAAAAAACCATTACAGTCGTAATCTTAATTTACGTGTGGTGTAGATAGAGCTTTAAATGAGTGCGAAAAATAATTTAATAAAATGAGTTCGAAAAATAATAAATTATATCGTTATACTTCCGATTTTTATCGTAAATTGAAACGTCTAAAATCTCAAGTGCAGAACAACGTGACCTAAATATGTTATATTTACCTATAGGTAAATTTTTTATAAAACCTATAAATTATTATTTCTTTAAATAGGTAAAGTTAACTAATATGTCGTGAAATTGAAGTTAATTCAACTTAGTAAGAAGGTATTTGTAAAATACGTAGATTTCCTTAGTCATAATAACTTTTAGGTCGAATTCGCACAATACGCCATATTTTCTTAACGTAATTGAAGTACGATTCCAAATTTTAAATTTTTAAAATGACCATAACTAAAACATAAGAATGAAAATACCGAAAAACGAAACATTATTGATTTTCTAAAGTGATACACAACAAACGTAACATAGTTTTAGCTCATAATATTATTATTATTTTTTTACACGATTATATTTTTTTCTTATATTTTTTTAATTAGAGAGTATTTTGGAAGGGCATTGTTATTTTTCTAAGTAGAACTGTTAACATGCACGACAAAATTTTCTTCGCATTAATTTCAACAAGCGTGAACTGTATATTCACCGCAATTACATTACATATATTTTTGTCACCGACATTTATTTATTTTCAATCTTTCATGTGAATTAGGTATATGTTTTGGTTGTGTTGGTGACTTCTTACAATATTTCTACTTATATATAGATAAAAATACCAAATAAGTATAAAATTTCTTTTCGTACACTTGGAGGCATACGTCATCTGCAAATATTTTGGTAGTTTCTACCTAAAATTAGTTAAATCAACGTCGAATTAACGTTATGCTGACGTCAAATTTCCCTAGAGAGGTATTACTAACCAAACGTACTGGGATACTACAATGTGGATTTAGATGTAATTCTACCTATTTCGGTAAATAAAACCAAATTTCGACGTCGTCTTATTCTCCACTTATGTCGAATCCACGTCGAGCCAACGTAAATTTTAATTAATTATGGTTAAATCTAATTTTGCGACCAAATTTACTATATATAATTTAGGTAGTATCGACGTCAAATTACACCAAAATGTTTGCTGGGCGGTAGACACCCCCAAACTACCAAATACCAGCGATAATGTAACCACAAGCGCAGGCGCGATCCCAAAAAGGATTTAAGGACAATTCAACGCTACGAAGGAGTAGGAATGAGCCAATCAGGGGTAAACTGAGTAGCTTCCGTATTGGCTATGTACCTACTCCCCTTGTCACACCTAACAACTCTTAACCCTCTAGTTCCGGCATCAACTCTGGAGATAGATCAAATAACACATTCATCAGAATCCCAAGCGATCCCCGAATAAAAATAGGAGTCCTACAATCTAATTTACCACCTACCCTGTCACAAAACATTATGAACTTCAACACTGGAAATCATACGTCTGAGGATGAAAACAAGGGCACGAATGGGGCACCACCAGACAACATAACCCACGAAAAATTACCTCACTTACCCAACAATTTATTCCTCTTAAGGAAACAAGGAGATGTCTCACCTCCCGAAAAAATGGACACCAACCCCTCCACAAGTAATGAACTTAAAATAGGAGAACTACATGTCTCGTTACACCATAGGTCTTGTCGAAGAAGAAAAACTACTAAAACTTGTTTAAAACTTATTTTTACTCGAAGGACCATGTAATTTTTAATCGCTTACAAACGTTTTATTTAAACACGAAATATCGTTAAAGCCTCTGATTATTGTCAGCGATACCCTTTTTATCAACTCTGTCTCCCTCCTTAAACCCCCAGAAGTACCAGGCCTATTGCTCGGGAAAAACCGTCCTTTAAAATTGTTGTGGATTAGTATCAACTACCTAAGTTATGACGGACTATTATCCGTTCTAATAGAATTGTTATTACCCTTGATTAGGGCTTATTTTGGGATTTTAAAAGATTAGGAAAAACCAGAGCTCTTCTACTGCGGGTCTATACTATGAATAGTAATATACAGTATGATACAAAAAAATATATTTATTGTAAATAATAAACTGAATGTGTTCGAGACTTTCTCGAACAGATACCAAGCTCTGACAGACGATTCTGAATCTGAGTACGAAGATAAGATTAGAAAAATAGTTAAACGCAAGAGAAAAATGGCCAAACAAGGGGATAAAAACCCAGCAGTCAACGCAAATCATGTTCAAACCCAAGAGAAGACTGCAGAAAAACCAGTAGAGACTAAGAAGATAAGTACTAAACCCAACCCTGCCCAAAAAATCCCAAAAAAAAAGACCTTCATGTCACCGATTGTGATAGAGGGTAAAACATCGAACCAGGGCAAGCTTATCAAAGATATTAAGAAACTAGTCAAAGGTCATTTTAGCATTAAACACGAACGCATCCACCATTCTCTTCGTCAAAGAGAAAGAGGACTACGAATGTATGGTCAACAGCATCAGAGCTGAAAAAATACCCTACCATACGTACACCTCCTACGAAGACAAATCACATGCCTTCGTCCTACAGGGTCTAGCTGACGGGACTAAAACTAGTGACAGAGGAGGATCTTATTGAGGAATACGATATTAAAGCACATTTAATATTCAGAATAAATACGAAAAATAGACCTCTGTTCTTGATCGCCACCGACCCCATATGTTATGTTATGTTGAGAATGGGATGTTAATACACTGCGACCTAAAAAATCTATTATGCCCCCTTCTATCGCGACTGCACTAAGGAAATGTCTCAATGCCTATAGCGACCCTTCCAATCCTCTTTTCTCAAGGAAGTGTAGGATTTGAAGTGGCTTCAAGTTAGGTAAATCTCCCTCTTCTATTTGATATCCTCCCAGATATAGTGCTACACATTCAGTTAGGATGTAAATGGAGGTTTTGTACTTCTTCTCACAGAATCTGCACTCACTATTCTCTACTACTCTCAGTTTACTTAGGTGTCCTTTTAGTCGGCAATGCCCCGTAAGGATCCCTGTTACAATACGTAGCCTGTTCTTGCTCAGGCAGATGCAGGCTTCCGATCTTTTCTGGTTATATTTACCCAGAAGTATCTTGGCCTGTCTCAGCCCCAAGAGATTGTTCCAATTATCGGTTCTTCTACTACCCAATTCTTTTTTAATCTTTCCTAATATTATGTTACTGCTGATACCGCAGAACGGCTCAGGTCCTACAAAGGGTGTTTGAGCCCCTTTCCTTGCAAGACTATCTGCAATCTCGTTACCCTGTACCCCGTTATGTCCCGGGACCCAAGTGAGAGTAACTC